GTAAAGGTTCAGACAGTTCGGAGTAAGCCCCTTTCAGTTAGTTCTGGTCAGGCATTTCCAATCTCGGAGTACGAAGAGTAATATCTAGTCTCTGAAATGAACATATTTTACAGATAAAACAGTTTCTAAACTACATCCATAAAATGTTAAAAATGAGCCCATAGATTTTCATCATTTCCTGAAACTGTGGTAATCTGGAATTGACACATATTCTACACTTCCATTGCTACATTGGGTTTAATTTTTCAGGGTCTGACAGACTAACTGTCGCCTCATTATACACAGAAAGTTCAGAAACCACACCCTGGTTTGCTTTCTTTACCGTTTCAGTGATATATTTATACACGACTTTTAAAAGCTTTTATATATTCGTGTATCACTGACCATTTCATCGAGAATTGAAACAGATATCGCTGACCAGAAATATGATGGTATTTATAACGATAAACACTATCTTAATGCCTGTTCCCGTTGCTGCCAAATGGTCACATAGATGTGCGTGCTACGTACGCTTGTAAAAGAGGACGACAGTACTATTAAAATAGATGATACACTCCTATAACCATCTAGTATTGGATAAATATTTATATTTAAAAAAGACTGGATTCACAGCTGTTGAACGGCGGCAGAACTTGGTGTCTTTTATGTGCGCTTTATTCAACATGTGTCATTCCGTGCGAATTTCATAGTCTGTCACATTTTTGGTTGGTTTGTTGTTTAACGCCGTAACTCCGCAGTATTCCGTCTATATAGCGGTAGTCTGTACAAATTGAGTCTGGGCCCAAAAAATCAAGTGACCAACAGTATGGGCATCAATCAACGCAATTGGGATACGATGACATATGTCAACCAAGTCAGCGAGCCTGACCACCCGATAGTCTGTCACAAAGACCCGGAAACAAACATCCACTTGCAAGATTGGAAAATTTGGGAGGTCTAGATTCTGAAAATGAAGGGCATAGGATAATGAAGGATACATAAGAATGGAGAAAGTACACAACCCTGTGGAACACCCGTAGACTTGCATAAATGAAACTAACAAGAACCGTTGACACAAAGGTGACATCGTCACAAGAAAATATTCAAACCACAAAATATTTTAGTTGATCGCCACATTCTTCATGCGCTTCTCCATTAACTGATGTTATTGAACGGTGGTACATCCTGAGGAAAAAAACACCAAAATGTGTTTCAAAATATGAATCAGTATTGTAACACCTCATTGTAGCTCTTAGGACAACACGAGGCGTAGTGGCAACAAAGAATGGTCGTCTTTATTGCTTGATGTACAACTTGTGGGGCAGGGCGAACAACTTGCACAATGTTTGCAGAGTCCAGCGGAGAGAAGGCGGCGAAGTGCTGCTGACACTTAGGCAGTAGATAGCTGCATTGACTGGTCAGTTCGTCCCTTCGAGTCCCTGGCTTGCCTTTCTTCTTGTTTGTGCGCGCTCTTCTCAGCGTCTTCCGTCTCTGTTCTACTCGCCCGTCCTGCCTGCTTTTAAAGGCAGATGAGCGACCGACAATCTGCATCAGATTGCAGTTCTTACGAACATAATCTGCGTACTTCGACAGTTCTCATGGACATATTGTGACTGGCTGTCTATATGCTAACGAGCTTGACATGCATGTGTGTCCGACAAGTGTTACAGTATTTCGAACTACTTATATATAGTATTGAGACGAGTGGCAGCATCGTAATCCTCTCCTCGCCCTATAGGCAAACTGCAATGGACCAAGTATGTGCAGTAATTCCGCCAACAATATTTCTTGAGCAACACGTTAAAAACATTTCACAGCAATTGAAGTTAGAGAGACCGCGGGCTGTATAATCAGAGTGTACTTATGGATTTGTGTGTGTTTTCAGAAAGTGGTACAACGTTAGTATGCTTCATGTAAATCCGTTGATTTTCGACAAAGTTTCTGAAAACATAACACGCACATTACTGACTCCGACACAATTTCAAAACTATGCTGATATTATTATCAGTATTTATTCCACTGATAGATGAGAAACGTTATTTGGAAAGAACTGGAAAACCGGTTCACGTTTTTCATTGAGGTCACTGTAATCTAATCAAGTATAAAACACGTTTACGTAACTTGCAAAAGATGGATTGCCATGTACATTTATTTCTTGCCGTTTCGTAACAGTTCCCAGCAGAGTCATGAATTTGAAGTTTCTCTATCTATGCTTTGCGTGCTTTGTTTTCAAGAAATCATGTTTTTTGTATTGCATTGTACGAGATACAGACAACATTTTCGTGCTGTGTGCATTCGACTGGACCTTATAAACTATATAAATTAGGATGTTTAAAAGATGGCACACGAACTCAGACTGGGAGCAGTTTGTCAACGTGTAAATACGTAGAACATTAAGAAATTGAAGATATCTTCAATCGTTTTAAAGATATATTCATTCTACTTAAAGATACCAATAGCATTTTAAGGAATTGGTGAATAATTAAGGTATATCTAATTAATTTATCATATCCAAAGTAGAATTAATGATATCATACTGAGTTATCTTAAACATATATTGTAACATCTCTCATGTGTTAAAGGAGAATACGAACGAAAACAAAACTTTTGATATATTGTTAAGGATATTCTAAAAGTCACATTCCGTGATTAAAATTGAACAAAAAGTTTGTAAAAAAGCAATAACAACACAAAAACGTACTCGTATTTCCGCCTATTACGGAAACACCAGACAGTTAATGAGCAGAGGGGGTATCACGTGACATGACGTCATAAGTGCCTGTTGCTGATGGCTTTCTCTGATTTTACCTCACAACTTAACAGTGTCCGTGGATTCTGAAGCAGTAAAAGATGTTCCTGATGTCATTTCTGAAATGGATGTTAGACCGTATCAATACGATCCGATTTTACATCTTGCAAAACAGTCTTCCACTGAAGATGAAGAAGAAGAATCAAGCGAAACGGAGGCACCGCTTGAGGTAAAAATCAATAAAAAAATAGACCATATCATTTAACAAGATTACTATTTGTCAGCAAAATGTCATACAGTTTCAGCCAGCAAACTCACCCCTATAAATATATGACCAGTCACTAAGAATTATTTTTAAAAAAATGTGATTACAGTTCATTTTGTGTCAAATGGGTGACTGTAGGGTGTCTGGGATTTAAAAACAAAATAATTATGCTTCAGACGAGGGAAAATAAAAAAAGTATCTGCTTCAAAAATAACACTGGAATTATATTTTGTTGAAAAAAATTAGGATCCTAGTTCTCATTAATAACGTATCAAGTCTCGATACAAGATCCCAGCCTGGTCGAGCAGAGATAATATTCGCGACGCAGATAAGTTATTCCCCGAAAACTGGTGATTTATAAAATACTAGTCAGGACAAGTATGTTTCCTGGGGCAAATTGACCCAATTTGCTGGGGCATTTTGTAGCGGGGGCAATTCGACTGGCAACCGGACTTGATTTAATTTATGTTAAAAATACCACTGACAGTAAGTTGTTACAGGGAATGATGGAGTATAAATGAATCTCGTGGATACTTTTTCCTTCTTCAGCCTAGCTTGGGGATTTCCATACCCCATGCGTGCATGTCTCTTTCATATGCGTCCGACTCGGAATGATCGGTGCATTTCTCCTGCCGAAATCTGTCATTTCACTTGGAAAACGGAAGAAATGGTGTCTCTTTCCATTGTTCGATGATGCCATGCATCTCCAGGCAACGCAATACACCATCGTACCATTTATAAAAACGACAGAAACAACACGATTTGTATTACCGAAGCGCTTGGTCTTTGGCAATATGGCGGACTCCAGGCACATTTGACGTCACGAGCTGAAAGGTCACGTGGGTTCCAGCTAAATATGCATAAAGGCTGAAGCTGAGAACTTACAGAAACTGTTTTCGCGATTAAAACATAATTATACATAATTTTTAATTGAAAATTAGGGAATATGTTTCTGATAACTTTATCTTTCACCAAGCAAATTATTGCAATTCACTCGTATTCTCCTTTAAGATGTCAATTTAAGCCAAGTACGATCATATTGTACATAATTATATTATAAATGAATTTAATATATCTTCAGTTCGGTTCAAGATATCTTGATATAATTAACCATATCCACAAACGAATAAAGGATATCTTCAACCCAGTTAGAGATAGCCTCAATTCAGTTGGAGATATTCTCAATTCACTGAGAGATATCTTCACCTCTAGCCGTTACTGATATCCAAAATCAAATCAAAGATATCATTCTTAATTTTGAAGATGTCTTTATATCAGATATATCGCTATTTACATTCAATATATCTTCAAAACAATTTAAGTTATCTGTCATTTCTCAAAACATTATCTCTATTTGAAATACATAAAAGATATTTCCAATACAATTCAATCAGGATGTCTTCAATTAATTAAAGATATCTGTATTTAATTGCAAGATATCAGAAATTGAATTACAGACCATAATTAAAACGCATGAATTTGTACATATCTTTAAATCCTAGTCTGATATCATTAATCCAAAATAAGAAATCTGCTAATGTTTTCAAGATATCATTAATATGCTTCATCATATTCTTAATTTCGACCAGAGACGATCCGGGTTAGAATATTGGTCTTCAGCAACCAATGTTTGTCGGAAGAGGCGACTAACGAGATCGGGTGGTCAGGCTAGCTGGCTTGGCTGACACATGTCATCGGTTCCCAATTGCCTAGATCGATGCTCATGATGTTGATCACTGGATTGTCTGGTCCAACCTCGATTATTTACAGACTACCGCCATATAGCTGGAATATTGTTGAGTGCGGCGTTAAACAACGAACCAGCCAACCAACCAAAAACCATATAATTAATTTCGCATATCTATTACGAATGTTATTGCAGATATCGATAATTATCTCTAGTTTATTTCCAGATATCTCTATTTTTATTCAATATGTCTTTCAAACAGTTTAAGATATCAGTAACTTAATAAATTTGAAAACGTCTTACCGTGATACGTTTACAAAATGGGCAATGATTTCTCCCCGCGAGAAATACTTCCGGTCACTTCCGGCAGCATGGAGAGCGAAGAAGAAACATCAACAAGCGAAAGCCGTGGCAAAATACGTATGTTTTTATTGATTAGTCTTCAGGTTGGGACTGATTATGTGATATTCGAGGCTTTTGAGTAATTCAACGCAATAACATATAGCTAACAGCTGAGGTACACTTTGTTGGAGTCAGTAGATCTGTATCGTCCTAATTTCGATCACCCAATTTGTGTCGTTGCTTCAAACAACAAATTGATGATGTTGTCATCTTTTAGTTATGCACAGTCATTTCCGTAATATGTTGACAGCCCATATGGTGGCAAGGGAGTTTTTCTACACCGTAAACACAGGGTATGATCCATGATCTCTCATGATCAGCTTGTCAAGTTAGTTACTCTCTAGCCGAGAGCCGCGATGCGGTCCTATACAGTCAAGACCGCATCGCGGCTCTCGGCTAGTTACTCTCAGTCACACCTACATTTGAAAGAAACTTTTAATTGATGTGTCTGTCAGAGATCAACAAGTCATTTGATCAACACCAAGTGCAAAAGTAAATAGAGTCGTATGATTGTCACATGTTGGTTACAAAGTGTGTACTTTGTGTTGATACTATATATACTTCACTCATGTAAAAAAGTATGGCTTGGATAGCCACATAAATGAATCAGTACAGGTACTAGAGGTAGCTATATGACTGAGCCATCTGGTTTGGGTTTGGTCGTTGTTAACGCTGCACTCAGCAATATTTCAGCCACATGGCAGCGGTCTGTAAATAATCCAGTCTGGACCAGACAATCTAGTGATCAACACTCGGCATGAACATCGGTCTACACAATTAGGATACGATGACATGTGTCAACCAAGTCAGCGAGCCTGACCACCCGATCCCGTTAGTCGCCTGTTATGACAAGCATGGGTTGTTGAAGACCCAGATTCTAACCCAAATCTTCACGTTTTTTTAATGGATAGGAAAATTGTGAGATCAATAATATCTTACTAAAACTATTGAGATGAAAGCTAGTTTCACTTCACCCACATAATACACAAAGTTATTTCTGTAGTCAAAGGTTGCTTCTAAAGTTGATGTTTCATATTTATTATGTCATCCTGATAAAGAGGTGTGAATGGACATCTGCAAGGGGAGATGGGAGGCCGTATCTAAGATATTGTTTTATTTCAGACACAGTAATATATGTTTAAAGGTATCAAAATACCCTAGAACATATATTGTGTCTGGAAAAAAGCAATATTTCTCTTGAAAAATCAAGGAATCTTTTTTCAAAAAATAGGAACCCTGTATTACTGACTGACTGAGTTTGGTTTTTATGCCGCTTTTAGCAATATTCCAGCAACATCACGACGGGGGACACCAGAAATGGGCTTCACACATTGTACCCATGTGGGGATTTGAACCCGGGTCTTCGGCGTCAGAACCCTGTATTAAGAACAAACACTTTTCCTCATCAGGTGTGAAGGGGAAGAAGAAGAAGGGCGGTGATGACTTGCTGGAGGTACCTGAAGGATGGAAGGAGCCCAAGTTCCAGCAGGATGACAATCCACATGGTGTTCTGGCAGAGAGCTCCTTCGCAACTCTCTTCCCAAAGTACAGGGAGAAGTACATCAGGGAGTGTTGGCCTCTGGTGAAGAAGACACTCTCAAACTATGTAAGGAGTTTATATTTTGGTGCCTACTTTTGTCATGTTTTAAAGCTGGGCACATATTAGGGACATTCTTTGCAATGCAATAAAGAAGATGGAAAAAATGACTTGAAATGAAGCCAATGTTTTATAGGAAAATAGTGTAAGATCCACTTAAGCTGGCGTGCAACTTCCAGTGCTACATGCTGTTCTTGATTGTGTTGATGACCCATGAAGATCCGGTTAGACTTGATCTTCAGTAACCCATGCTTGTCCTAAGAGGCACTAACAAGATCAGGTGGTCAGACTTGCTGGATTGTCTGGTCCAGACTCGATTTTGACAGACCACTACTATGTATATTGCTGAGTGTCAGCAGTAAAACTCACTCTCCACACACACTGTTCTATTGTTCGAAGTTTCCATTGTTCACTGATCTGTCATTGACAGTTCTGGTTACTCTTGTATTAACAGTTCTTTTGTCTGTTGTGTTGACTGTTCTGTTGCCTGTTCTATTGTTGTCTGTAGGGATTTACAGAACGCGATATTCCCAAGCCCCTTACGAAAAAATTGACAATGGGCGCAATGAAATTTATTAGCGCATCCACAGGGACGCAGAAAAAGTCAAAATACTTTTGTAAAATTTCCAATCAAGTAGCAATAAGCTATCACTGAGTTTGCAACTAGCTGAGTTATGGTATCATTTGCAATTTCATTACTGTAACAATTAATGTGATGATCATGATACACAATACAATAACAGTATTAGCAATAATATTTAAGTGTATCTGGCCCCCATTTTGTTGTCCAGGTCCCCTGAAAATTATAAGCAGGGACCCTCAAATACAGGACTCAAGGTAAATCTCTGTGTCTGTTTTGTTTGACCTTCTGGTTGTTGAATGTTCGATCCGCAGAACATCAAGGCAGAGCTGGATGTGGTTGAAGGAAGCATGAGTGTCCGGACTACACGCAAGATGTGGGACCCCTTCATGATAGTCAAGGCCCGAGACCTCATCAAACTTCTCAGTAGGAGTGTTCCCTATGAACAGGTAGGAACCATGATTGTCAAGTCCCACAACCCAGTCTGTCATCTTTCTAGAAGAGTTCTGTAGGAGCCTCTTGGAAACTAAGACAAGCTTTGAGCAAACCTGTGGATGTAGTTTTTGGCTTTTTGTGTAATACTCATTCTATCAATGCTGCCTTTGTAATGCCATAACCTTAAAGACTTTGTATTCTGTAGGCCATGTTGTTCTGGAAGATGACACATTCTGTGACATTATCAAGATCTCTTCGCTTGTTCCAAAAACAAGGAGAGGTTTATAAAGTTTTAATCTAATAAAGGCTTATGGGTCCTGATGGCTCAACACCAAGGTCTGTATGATATGTTTCTGATGTTGTGTGAAGGCAGGCTCCTTAGTTATTTCATTGAGGTCATACTGTGAATGTATTTCCCATCATTATTACAGTGTATGAAATAAGGCCCGTCCGACTGCCCGAGACGGTCTAGATTTCTGACGGACGGTCTACATTTACAGCTAGTCAGCCCGATGGTCTGGTAAAAATTTGAGATGTTCCATACATCTGAGTAAATTCACCATATTTGGTCTGGTTAAATCCATTTGGGGCAGGTAACATTTGAAGTAGCCAGCCCTGATGTCTGGCTGATTTGTGGCTTATTTCATACACTGATTATAACTGGTCTGTTGTTTTTGCATTGATAGGCCAGTCATCTATGGTGTTTCATTTTGCTATACAGAGTTGTGTCCCTTAGTTGGATCAGAATGATAGGGGGTCATTACATCAGGAATTGAGATCCTTGCTTTGCACTCGTATACTTGCTGTCCTTACCTGCACATGAGTACAATGTGTGAAGCCCATTTCTGGTGTCCCCTGCATGATGTTGCTGGAATATTGCTGAAAGTGGCGTAAAAACTAAACTCACTCAACCATGTCATATACTGCCACACATAAAGAAAACTGTGTACACAGCGCCTTGATACATAAATACAGGTGTGAACATGCCAGGTGATGTGACGCCATTGATGGTGGCCTATATACTTCTGTAATGTGTTACTGCACGCAAGCTGCCCCGCGCAGCTGCACACAACAGATGTGAAACTCAGAAATTGCTGTCACTGTCGAAAGCTTGATCTTTGGTCATTTAAAACGCTCACAAATCCACATGAGAAGTCACAATATGCACGCCCCTGCCAAGATTAACATCTGCTCAACGCCATGAAGTCATTTGGAATGGTTCGAGCAGGAATAAGCCAAAACAGGTGGCAGCACATTTCCAATGCCATGCGTGAACGCTAATATCTGCATTGACCAGGCGCTATCGAACAGTAATGACATGCTGGATCACTCCACGTTCTGGCCGCCCCGAAAAGTAATCCATCGCCAAGACAGGAGAGATGGATTCAGGTGACGATCTCAGACACGGTCCAGACGGCAGTGGCCACGCCCCAGACCAGTCCCCAGGCCTTCAATGCTCATTTGGTAGCCTCTATGCGCCGTCGATTCACTGCTGTGCTTCATGCACATGGTGGTCATAATTCATATTGACTTTTGTAACTTCGCCGTGGTGACGTGACTCAATTTTGAACTTCTGATGTCATCATTACGGATTTTGTTCATGTTCTTTTGACATTATTTTGTGTTCCAATACTTCAGCTTATAAAGTGTCTACATCATCTCGCCTTTCCTGTGTTGTATTTCACTTCTGAAGGAATTTTCTGTGTGCACAGTTTCTTTATGTGGCTAGTATATTTGACTTGAGTAGATTTTTTCATATCATGTTTGTGTCAAATGTCAGTATTGTCATGTCATGTTTGTGTTGATATGTCAGTATTGTCATGTCATGTTTGTGTTGATATGTCAGTATTGTCATGTCATGACTGTCGATGTCAGTATTGTTATGTCATGTTTGTGTTGATAAGGTTATGTCAGTCATTGTCATGTCATGTTGATGTCAGTATTTTGTGTGTCAATAAGTCAGTATTGTCATGTCATGACTGTGTTGATGTCAGTATTGTCATGCCTTGTTTGTGTCAATATGTCAGTATTGTCATGTCATGTTTGCGTCAATATGTCAGTATTGTCATGTCATGACTGTGTTGATGTCAGTATTGTCATGCCATGTTTGTGTCAATATGTCAGTATTGTCATGTCATGTTTGCGTCAATATGTCAGTATTGTCATGTCATGACTGTGTTGATGTCAGTATTGTCATGCCATGTTTGTGTCAATATGTCAGTATTGTCATGCTAGTGTCATACTCTGTATGTTGCAGGCTATAGAGCTGCTGACCAACTGCTATGTTCTGGTACAAGGAAACACAGTGTCTGCCCTGGGGCCGCACAAAGGTCTAAGGGAGGTAAGTCTGGATGAACTCATTGAACAGAGCTTTACTCCAATGCACACATCTTTTCTGTAGATCTGAGGGACTAGAGGGTCTCAATATATGAATTCCGAGCAAACTTTCACTGACGATTTAAAATTTAACTTACATGGATTCTTGAGGCAATCAGATTTCATATTTTTGCTGTGTTTGTCATGTAATTTATAATAGCTTGATTTGAATTTTTAGTCAAATATAGCACTCAAATAACATAATATTCCTTTGATGGTTCTCAATGACATGGCGTTCAAACACTGTGTAAATGACACACAATGATATAATGTTCAGCTTTTATCAGTGACTTCTAGTTTTAGACATGGTCGCTAATATGTGTCAAGATGAATTACTGAATTATAATGTGTTTTAGGAATGCTTCGTGAACAAACACTAAGAGAAACAGTGACCTTTTGTACTGATTTAGAAATGGTCGCGAAATGCATATGGACTCTGATCCAGGTTCTATATTAATTGTGGTGGTGTCATGGACATGAGTTACCATGGTTACTTAGAAAGTATTCCTGGAGGTGGCATTCTTCAAACATTGGCCAGTCAGATTCCTCACATTCAAGATAATATATGTGAGTGGATTGTCTGTTTTACTAAGGTTTTACTGGAAGAATTTTGCAATGACTGTCAGTTAAACAAAGAAATCATTCAGTATCAAACATATGTAAATTGTGCCG